AGGAAACAAATACAAGGGTTTGCAGGTAAACATGGGATGCTAATGCAGTAGATCTTACTCTGTTTAATGCTTTATCTTGCTTATTGATACTTATATTTTATCCCAAATTTTTATATTAAAGTGATGTCAGCCTTGTTCCTTCCTCTTTTGGTCAGGCGGGATGTATGTCCTGTACATAAAACACTGATGCTGCCACATGCAGCCTTGAGACCTCCATTTACAACGTTCTGCTCAACATATCTGATGTCAGTGTTTTTTTAAAAGATACTCTGAATTTTGAAATGAAATATGTTGCTAACAATAGGAGCCAGTGAAAACAAGAACAGAGGAATGAGCTGAGCTTTAAAAGAAACATTTTATTTGGTAAAAAATAAAAGTAATAAATTATTTCAAGACATTTTTGGTTTGTATATGTACATACACAGTAAATCTGTAACATAGTTGCTATGTAAACTGGGAACTCCATCTGAAAAAAGGATTTACAAATCAAGTATCAATTTTAAATGAGAACAGCACAATCAATTGCTGTCAGTATTGGAACCAACTTGTTAGTATTAAAACCAACTTGATGGAATTCCTTTTCTTTCCCCTCAGAAATTACTCAGAAAAACCTATTTCGAGTTTTATGTGTTTGTAGCACTCCTCATGGTTGTTTTGCATCCTGTAGATCAGTGTTACTCAGCTGCTTTTTTTTTTTTTAATTCAATGACTGCAATGTTGAAATACAGCTTTCAGTTTCAAACTGTAAAAATTACATTATGAATGTGCACTTCTATGAATCTTCTGATTTGACTTGCTTCCTTTGCTCTATGTGGAAATATATAGTAAAGACTTTTTGTTTGGCTTTGTTGTGCTTTTAATAATCTGAACTAATAATCTGAACTGTCACTTTCTGAAATCTTTTTGGATCACCAGGAGTCCATAGAACATGCTCTCGGAAAAGTGATCCAGACCCTGAAACCAAGAACAATATTCTCATACTGGCAGAAGTGAGATTTTGAAGAAACATGCCAGACATGATATAAAAATGCAGTATCAACACGGGTAAAATTAGATATGGCCCAAAGAAAACAATTAAATCATTAAAAAACAGTTAAATCACATATATTCAGCAGTTTCCCAAAATGTGTCAGCTAGGATTGCACTGAGTTTTTTACACCAATATTTAGCAAAACACATGTAGTCATGGCTGGTGTTGTGTTTTATCCCAGGAGGATTTAAACTATCACAGAATAATAGAATCTTTTGAGTTGGAAAGGAATGTTAAAGGTCATCTAGTCCAACTCAAGCTCAAAGAGTACTGTCTTTAGGTAGGTTTAGGTTACACATAAGGAAAAAAATTTTTACAGTGAGAGTGGTGAGATACTGGAACAAGTTGCCTAATGATGTGGTTGATGCCCCGACCCTGGAGACTTTCAAGGTGAGGCTGGATAAGGCCCTGGGCAACCTGATCTAGATGTGGTGTCCCTGCTCATTGCAGAGGAGTTGGACTAGATGCACCTCAGAGGTTCCTACCAACTCTAAGGATTCTGTGATTCTGTGATTCTGTGAACTCCCCTGCAATGAACAGGGACATCCACAGCTAAATCAGGCTGCTCAGGGCCTGGTCCTAGCCTGGTACTAACCTCCTATTTTAAAATTAAGTGGGTGTTTAATGCTTCGCTGGATATGTTTTTCCAGGTATTATTCAATGTCTTGAGAAATTGAGGACAACTAGTCTGCATTTTGAGCAGGCTGATTGCTAAATGAGGCAAGAACAGACAATGTACAACAAACAAGTAAGAGTCCTGTGTTTGAATGCTGAAATAAATGAGTTGCATTCATTTCTCAAACATAATGAAATATTGCTATTGGTGCTAAGTCTTTATAATAATGATACTTGGACTGTCATCAGTTCTCTACTTCATAGAGACAAGAAGTAGGTTTTTCTCAGCTATATTTATGTATAGAATCAACGGTATCAAAATAAACATGAATGATGAGCCTCTTATCAGAAATGCTTATTTTCTCCACAGAAATCTTTTGTGCTTGTCCATGAAATTTTTAGTTAGCCTAACACACGTGATGGGAGAAAGGTGCATAGTCTTCACAGAATCCATCAGTTTCTTCTGGAGAGATGTTCAGAGATCTTCCAGAAAAAGATATTTTCAAGGTGTACAGAAACTTGATTTGGAAGTATAGGACCCCAAATCCTGGATTTTCAAAAACAGGACTTACTTCTGCTTTAGCGTTGCAATATATGAAAATACTGACCTGGAGGAGATTGCTAGAAGGCAGAAGTGAGTTAAGCAGAACTTAACAACTCAACGTCATTAAAGCAGAAATCCAAACCACTATCTTTGCCTAAGAGCAATGTAGCTCTATTCTGCACTGTCAAAAGCACGTGGTTTCTTCCATCCCGTTTCTCAAAGCTGTTGCCAGAACATGCAACATTCCTTTGGCACCATATTCAAATGTAAAACAAAGGAGACCTAACTGAAACCCTTCGTTAAGGGTTGGAAACAAAAATGTCATAGTCTACAGAAAGGCACAGAGACATCTGTAAGCACCTGTATGAAATGAAATGGCAAGATGGCATGTGAGCAGTGCAGACTTTTCTCATCACTGGGGTGCTGATGGAGAATGTATTCATGCAACTTAACACAAAACTAGGGAAACAGATTTTATTTACCAATGAACTACTGCAGATTTATGTTGTTCTAACTCTACAGCTTAAATCAAAATAGAGTTTTTTAAAAAACAACAGCAGAGCACAAATATTGTACTGTGCAGTACAGTATTGATCTGGGGAACAAGTTCTTACTGATTTCTGTTCATCACACTGTTGTACAGTCACTTGTGGTTGTACAGTTTATGTCAGGAAAGAGCAAGGAAAAAAGTGCTACAAATGAAGAAAAGATATTTCTCGTACAGCACAGTGGAGCCATTTTAAATTTTATTTTTACACTATCTTGGCACAGATCTTGGGATTATTTTTCTTATGACTTCTTCTATAAACCACAACATTCCCTTTTATTTTTCAGAAAGCCAAAAAAAAAAAAGATCAAACACAGTTTTTTTGTTTGTTTTTTTTTTTTTTCTGAATGATATTGCTCTTGTATCTATCAATAATAAATTATTTCAAGACATTCTTGGTTTGTATATGTACATACACAGTATATCCATAACACAGTTGCTATGTAATCTGGGAATTCCATCTGAAAAAAAGGATTTACAAATCAAGTATCAATTTTAAATGAGAACAGCACAATCAATTGCTGTCAGTAATGAAACCAACCTGACAAGCTTATGATAAGCTTTCTTTCTGTCAAGGCTTCTAACAAAAAATATTATCCTTGTGAATTAGACAGCAGGAAATTCAATTTGTCTTAATTTTTATTTACACAAAGTTCATATTCATTAGCATGAATAGAGTGCTGTGCAAGCTCATTAGTAAAATAACCAACGTTTTGCAATCTGAGAGGCAGTAAAAACTGTTTACTACAAGGCTGAAGATATGAAGCAATTAATTCACTGGGTGTTACGATCATATGCTGAGGTGGTTTATTTACAACACGAATTGAACGTGTGCTGTATGAGGGGTCTGTATTTCCTGTATGAGCTGCCCACGGAGCTCCTGAGGGCCACATTCAGTACTGTGTAACTCTGATCATCTGGATCTAACAGAGTTTTATCTAATGTGAAAATGACACATCATTTTTTTGTGTGTTTCACAACTCCCAAGCCATTTGGCCACATGACCATCATGCGTGGCAATACCTATTACTTCAGAGCCTTACAAAACTGGGAGTACATTGGGTGTGTGCAGGGTGTAACAAACATGCAATTTGCAAAGCACATTCAGGACACATTGAACAAAGTGCATCTCCTTGGGAAGAGCAGAAAGATCAAGACAAGCTTGGGGAAAAGGAAGTTTAAATATATAAGCTCTATTCCTCCTTCCAAAAAGACACAGATTTTGCTGATGCAAAGAGCTTATGTATTTTTTTCCACACTTATCTATTTTGTGGAACAGGTGGGATCCTCCACAGACAGGAGGCAAATCAGACACAAACAGCTGAGCACTGCTTCCCCACCTATAACACACAATTCTAGTGGGAACAACAAGGCAGCTGGTCCTTGCATCACTTGCCTTGGAGCTCTACCAAGGGCTCCCTCATCTCTAAAGCTGCAGGCAGGGCATCAAGCTGCTGCTCCCACAGTGCCAGGGCTGCATGCTTTCCAAGCAGCATTTTGTCACACCTCTAAAATAGTGGCATCACTACATTATGTGTCTGATCCAACTTTCACTGAGGCCAGTGGTGATCATTTTCATTCAGTTCAGTTAATCTTGGATCAGGCCTCAATGCATAGTCTCTGAGGAGATACATGGAAATGAAAAAGAAAATTTTACTGTGATTATTTTTTTGCATTATTAAGCATATGAGCAGGCTCTTCACTGAAGACACTTAATCTGCTGTGTATAAATACAAAATGGAATTATATATAGGTGACTTGATAAGTTAAAATACTTGCTTTCTCAGGACTCTCTTATAAACAATCCACTCTGGAAAATACAGAAAAAGTCTCCTAAGTGTATCAAAATATGTTTCCCACATTCTACTACAAAATGCAAAGAACTGTCACTTCAAAACTACTTGGGGAAGTATGTTGTGCCTATGTTGAAAATATGCACATAATACTAAGGAGATACATCTTGCCTCGGGATCTGGGCCTGAAATTGCTGCTTCTGAAAGGACGGTATGAATGCTTATTTGGGAAAGATATGTACTGGGGCATTTTAACATGGAGTGATCAAGTGGCCAGTGTCCATTTAGAAATTCATAGTCTTTTCCATCCCAAGTAAATCATAGGTAAAGGGGTGACTGAAACTTTCAGCAGAGGATTGAGACACAAGGCCCTTAAAAATAAATACCATCCCCACAGTGAAACAGTAATTATTATAACGCATCAACCTAGTAAGTTTGCCTGAGAAACAGTTTGAATGAAATTCAAATGAAATTCTTAGTGATGAGATTTCCATGTAAAATCTCCTCTCAGCACCATAGGTAGCACAGACAAATGAACTCAATTGAGCTGGGGCATGAAATGCCTTTTTGATGTTTTTAAAAGACAAACCACAACCTCCGCAATGGGACTCCAGCATGGAATGCTGTAGGACCTTTCAGGTCTAAAAGTGAAACGGTCTCCCAAAACATGCTCCTGAAACATGAAAACCCTGTATAAGGTACGTAAGCTTTCAGCAATGAAGTTACCCAAATTTCTGTTGCTGAATATTTACAATATTGCCTAAATCCCCCAAAATGCTGAGTTGCCCAGTGCCTGCTGAAGGTATATTTTTTTCCTAAAAAAGTATCTTTCATGATCCCACTAGAACTTAGTTCTCAGTTGCTGTTCTCAAAACATGCCTAAGACATATACTGAGAAGAGGCAGGTGTGCTAGCAAGGCAAGGATGTGAATATGCCTTTCCAAAATGCTGACTGCCATAATCAGAGAAATGCCCATTTTATTGTCTTCAGCCCTCTTAATATGTAATTATGTAAAGTGTGGTGGAAGAGCTTTACAGAATTCAAATGAAACAAGCCTGTCCCAGAGCATCTTGCAGCTAAATGGTTACAGGTGCTCTCCTAAAAGAAAAGCCACCACCAAGGAGGGCCATGAGCCAGGTGGATGCTTTGACTATGAGCCGCAGAAGAAGCAGATGCCATGTCCCTGTGTTTTTCTGTATGCACTGATCTGCTATGGGCATTTAATATCAAGAAAGTTCTTATGACTGAGAGACTGAGAGTCTGAATGAACACACAGATACATCCCCTTAGATTGCAACTAGGTGCCTGAATACGTTCACTAATGTTAAACAATTGTTGCTATCACCCTTCATTGATACTTTAGGAGAGGCGTCATATTGCTTGATGTGGTGGCTTTCATCAGTCTCATTTTTAGATATCTAATTGTTCCTGGCCTTCTGACAATCCTCCTGACATAAAGCAACAGGGCATGGAATATTCAAGTATTGCAGTGTCGAGTTTACAACCTCCCTCACATGCCTGGTCTAAGCACTTGCAACCTTACTATCAAAAAATAGGTTATTAAAGGCAGAGTTGTACATAATCTGGTAACACTTTACACAGACTGTTGCATATGAAACTCTAAGACTTACCTGAGAAATGGAAATCCACTTTTTTTTCATGGAAACAACAGAAAAATCTAACAAAAAAATTATTTTTAGAATACATTACAGAATACTGGCATGTTATACAAAAGTACTTAATTCACTGAAATTTAAACCAGTTGTAAGTTCTTTTGAAGGCACCCTGTTTATAAACTGTTGGGGGTCTTTTTTTGTTACTTTCTTTTTCTCAACATTCATCCTACATTCACATTACTTTAGCCATGTAAACAAGTCTGTAAAAGCTTGGATTAAGGTCACTTTAAGATGTGTGCCAAATAGTTCAGAAAACATCATATTAAACGGAAAATTCAATGAAGATCCATCTGCTGCCTAAACAGCTCAATACGATGCTAGGGGGTAAATTATTACCAAGATGAAATCTATAAGAGGGTTTAAAAATGAGTTTAAAGATAAGTAACGTGCAATGCATTAACATCTGTGTTTATCATTTGAAAATGTACATAAATGCTGAAAAGATGCAAGCCACTATTCCTAGTGCTATCCTATTTTTAAAGGGAATATCTTTGGAAATGGTATTATTTGAAGTTTAAAAACACTCTCCATATTTCTTTTCCCCCACAGGCAATCTTACAAGATGCTAACACATACTTTCTTCACAAAGAAAACGTATAAAAGTAATCTTACAATATAAACACTATAAACAACTCCCTTGAGATGTTTTCTGGACACAGAATTTCAGTAATGATTGAAGTATAATAATCCTAGGGTAATTATGTAAAAATATGTACATTCATTCAATTGTCCTCGATTCTGAAGAAACCTAAATAAGTTCTACAAAACTAGAAAACCACAAAAAAGTTCATCGGCCTTGTCCAGTTAGGAATGTACAGCTTTGCTATTCTTGCTGTATATCAACAACAGTAGCAGAAGTTCTACTTGTTTTTGTGTAGAAAGTTCCCAAATTTCTGCATGAATCCTCTCAGTTTATTTTCATTAGGCTGAAATGGATGATAAGCAGTTGAGTTGTAGCTGACCAGGTGATTACTTCTGCCATAGTTATTCCCTAAGGTCTTGCTTTTCATATCTGAGAGATGTGAACTGCTATTTAGTGTATTTCCTGCAAGTTGACTAGCATTTTCCATCTTATAGAATGGCTCAAAGCGACTATAAACACGTCTTTCACTTGAACGAGATCTGAGATCCTCTTGATGTTTTGAGCTTGCCAGTTGCGGTGTCACTGAAGTTGCTCTTTGTAGAGCACAAACAGGGGCACTCTCAGGAGCAGCATTTGTGGTAATTTCCTTTACATCTTGATACTGAATCTGTTCCGTATTAAATCTTGGGGTAGATGCATCTCCTGCAGTTTCTATGAACTTAGTTTCAAGAGGGCACAAGACAGGACACTTTTTATTGCTTTCATCAGATGGAGGTTTTTGAGGCTTTGGAGACTTTGGAGACTTTGGAGACTTTGATGGGCTTGAAGTGACATCTTCTTTACTTCTGTTCAAGCTACCTTGTGAATTTGATGTGTTTCTCTTTCTCCTTGGGGAAGAATCTGTCTTATTTTCAGATACCTTTGGTTTTTGATTCTCTTCTTCAGAAACCAAAGTGTCAGAACTACTACACATTCTGTAAAAAGCAGGACTTTTGTTTTTTGACAAGATTTCTTTCTTGTCTGGTGTGAGATTAAGAAGTGACCGCAATTTTTGGGATCCTTTCTTTAGAAAATTTGGGGAATTCTTACTTTCCTTCTTTGATGTACAATCCTTACCAGATTCCTCTTTGATAGCTTCAGCAAGAACAGCCATAGAGATTGCCTTGGTAGCAGTTGGGCTCTTCAGCTCTTCTTTAAGATCCTTTTCCTCCTGTGGTAAATGGTTGGCCATACTATGCAAACTTTTAGAGCTCTTTAGTGTATCTTCTGGAATTTTTGGACTAACTGGCTGCTTAAGCCTATGCCTAGTCAGTGTGCTGTAAACATAACTGGATGTGTGTTTATCAGCATGAGGGTCCAATATAGACTTTGAATTAAACATGGGAAAGCTTCTTCTTTTAAGGATATTGTCATTTTGAAGATTTTTCATGTTTTCTGCATGCTTGTCTGCACAGAGCGTTGTGTATATATAGGCAGATGGGTCCCCTACTGCATTCGAATTTACAGTAGGCTTTCTGCTTTCTGCCATTTGAATTTTGTGGTTTTTGGGTGCCTCTGATTTAGGTGAGGCATTTGCGCTAAGCTCTTCTGAAGTATTACCTGTTCCATTTTCCAAACTTGGTGCATGATTAGATGTCCCTTTAGGTGTTTCACTTCCTTCTGACCCAATTATAGTTGAATTTGAAGAACTTGCACAGCTGCTTACCTCCTGTTGTTCAGGTAAAGTTGGCTGGAACACTAATGACGATCGTAAGCGAGAGTGGGAGTACAGAGCATGAGCTTTAATATTTTCAGTTGTGTCATAGCCATCATATCTGTCACCCAAGACTGATCCATTAGACTCTACTGGATAATCAGAATGGTCATTTAAATATGACTTAATTCGCCAGTTACGTAGGAATGATTTTGTTGTGTGTTCGAGTGTTGGCATCCTTTGCTGCAGATGGCGGATTTGATTATCTGTCCCATTAAAAGACCTCCGTACAATTGAATTTCTTTCTGCAAGATTTACCTTTGGTCGTGAAAATTGATCAGCAAAACTTTGTTGGGGTGTATTGTAATTATTTGCATATCCTCCTCGTAATGAAGATACAATACTAAGGCTATCAGATGGCATTTTCCAAGTATTTGATGGATTATTGGCTCTATTAATAGCTCTGTTGAGCAGTAGGTAAGGTGTCCTTTCTGGCTTCTCCCCAGCATAACTATGTCTCTTCCAGTGCTCATTTTTTTCACTAGGTTGATACTGCTGGATTGGATTTTGCATATTAAAACCTGGATGAAATGGTTGTTTATTAAAAGTTTGATTTCTCAAGCCAAATTTATCTATTTCATTTACTGCAAATCGTCCACGAGTTTTCAAGTAAACAGGATCTAACTTGTGAATCTTGTCTTGTCTACCAAAAAGGTTTCTTTGGCTAGAAACTGAAGCTAAGGAAGACACTGAGTGTTGGCATGTGTCATTATCCCAGAGCGTCCTGCGGCTGTTTACCCGCACTAATTCAGGGGCAAATGAACTAGGAACAGAAGAACGGGCATACAGTGTCCTGAACTCTTCATCAAAGGATTCAACCAGCTGTCCTGTTATAACTTGAACCATACTGAGGTTGGTTTTTTCAAAAGACCACATAAAGCTGAAAGAAGAAGAAATGACCATTAGGAACAGTTCTTTTGAACTAATATAAATCAGTGGTCCTTGAAAAAAGAAAAATCAAGTAAACATAGATTTAGTAAATAAATAAATTGGGAGTAGGATTCATACAATTTGCTTTTAGAAGATCTAATCTAACACGACTTGAACTCAGTGGAAGACTTCCACTGCTTTCAGTGGGAGCAGAAATAGCTACTTAAAAACCCTTACAAACAGCAAATATTGCAAAAAGTATTCTCAAGTACAGAACACTGGAACACAAATACCTAATTGTGCCGAATTACCACTACAAAGACTAAGCCAGAATTGACCAGATCCACTCCTGAGTCAGAGAACACTGGGGTATGGCTATGTGTTAAAAAAACTGCATTTGAAATAATACATGAAACGGTTTCCACAGGTCTGAATATACTTTATTCTAAACATCTTCTCAAAAAGATGCACCTCAAAATTGTCAAAAAGATTCATGTTCTAGCATGCACATGGGATTGAATATTAACTTTTCTATTAATTGCAATGTACAATATCCTGATGAAGTTTTCTTTCTTTCAATTGTGCATAGAAAAGTTGAACCATGCTTAAATATAACTATGCTACTTTGTAGCTACAATATGAAATAAAATACATTAACAACTACACCAAGGATATTTCAATAAGCCTAATAACACAATGTTGAAAGCATATAATTTGTAGATTACAACAAATAAAAAAAAATCTGTCCTATGATCGTAATTTAATGCCAAAAATAAGTGAGAAAAAAAAAAGTTAAATGAAAGCAATAAACTTGTTTTATTTGCATCTCCTGCTTGTGAGGAAAATGGTTTGTTGCATTCACATAAATAGCTTGCTGGTTTAGTTTTATTTGCTAGTTTTGAATTTTTTGGAGAATAGTGTGATGAGCTTGAACAAAATTATGATACATAATTTTTTTTCTCTTTTTTTTCTTTTTTCAAAGAAGTACTTATTGATAACAATATATTTTGCAATATTTGTAAAAAAAATTAAACTGAGTTCAGAGAGCAAGAATTCAGAAAACATCATTCTTTCCTGCTATAAATCACTGAATTATTTTTCAAAGAAAGCTTAATTTTAACAGAAATTGGTGATTCCCACCTCTGTCTTAAAGTCATGTTATTTTTCAAAAAGAAATGAGAAAACCGATCACATTCTTACAGACTCTAACAATGTGTGTAGATGTCAAAGCAGGCAGACTCTCTCTGGACTCCCTTATACTGACTCATTTATGAACTGCTGATTTATCTCAGTACCATTTACACATATCAATCTAAATTAGATGCTGCTTGAGTCTCAGAGGAAATAAAGAGACAGATTTTCAAAAGCTTACAGTAGTGGAAATATACAAAAATCAGTAGCTATGTATCTGGCACCCTGGCACTAGGCTGGCAGAAATTAATTCAGTAAGCCAAAAGACAGAAGTGAACCATGAAGATAAGAAAAATAATCTGTGAGATAAAAACTGTTACTGCTACAACTTTTTTCCAATTCTGCAAAGCTGTAAGTTCTTCTGTCTTCTGCCTTGCAAGAATATATTAGAATTCAAACAGAAAGTAGAATAATAAAACTTATCCAAATATAAAGAGAAACTATGCCAACTTATCTTGTACAGTTCTGAATTTGACCACGATATACAGAGTGCATAGAGTAGGTCTATAATTTTAACTTTAGAAGATTACTACAAGGAAAAAGTATCCAAAAGAGCTTATGAAATTTTTTGAAAGCCTTTTCTGGGGTGAATACTAAGCAAGAATAACTCAACATAGAATAAATCAGGATTTTTCTCTTTTTTCATCAAATCTTCAGAAAAAAACAAATGATATATCCATTTAAGCTTCCAATAAGCTGCCTCTATGACAACTTGTCAAATTACAGTAAAGATAATCAAATTTGCCCCTGGAGATTCTTTGAAGAATTTTTAGAAACGGAAAAAAATATTTACTTTGCAGTAAGTGAAGTACTGAGATGACAGGTAATCTACGAGCACCTCAGTGACAAATCTTACCTGTAAGAACCATATATAACTTTCTTACAGTCAACCAGCAGAAATTTTTGTTCCATTTTTCCATGGAATTTTGCTCCTGTTTTAGAATAGTAATCTTGTCCTTTTACTGTCCGTACTCTCATGTTCTGAAAAACAAAATTGAAATACTTTAATTGATTGACTATATTTGACATTTAGCATCCAGGACTTTGAAAATCAGAGGTACAGTAGACTAGTTACATTACCGCATACCACTAAGCTCCAAAGGACAGTAAACTTTGATCAAACCTGTCCCTTGGAGGGGCAAAATGGCAAGTCATCCCTTTGTTTTAATGAATGAAGAGATTTCCCAGGCCATGGAAAAATGAATTTCCCCGTTTTCCGTAGAATTCACTCTCAGAAATGAGGTTCTGGCACAAGAAGTCTTTGACAAGAGAAAGGTTTTGTATTGAAAATGTATCTTTTCAGCATCTGATTTCCAAACATCTCAGGTAGTAAGAAATATCACTTAAAGCATCAGTATCACTTAAAGCATCAGTATCACTTATTTCAATTGAACAAGAGTGTTCTGTCTATAAGTACAGACATCCCACTTTGTGATGAACTACTGAATGATACCACCTGAATCCACAATCCCTTGAAGCTGTATCACTAATAATTTTTCTCAATTGAATTTTCAGCATGGAAGCGATTGCATTTCTAAACCCAGAGATGCTATCAGAGCATGAATAGGTAGAACAAACTTCAAAGCAGTTTGAGTTCCAAACCTTATCCATAAGCTTTATGTTTTAGTCATGCAAACTCAGTAAATTCTCCTGGAGAATTCTTCTGTGATGGAAAATGGAAATGTGGTCACCTTTTCTCCCACACTGTGAGCAAAGCTTCCTCAGCAAGCTCCTAGAAATAAAACTATTCTAAACAATATCTTTAGGAGTGTACTAATAATAATTTCAGAAAGTTTTTACATGGATACAGTAAAATACCAACCAACCAAACGACAACAAGAACAACAACAAACCCAACAAACCAGCACATTTATCAGAAATGTTTATTAAGAGGTGTTTATATATAAGAAAAATGAAATTTATATTTAATGTAAGCTGATCTATAGCATCTACCTCATTTGGCTGTTGGATATGAAGTACTTCAAAAGACAAAATACAGATTAGAATATATCTGTGAATGTCCACAATATTTATTGTGGTTTCTATCCTTGCAGTATGTGCTTTAGCAACATTAATGTGTGGTGATTTACAAGTATTCCTGTAGGAGCGAAATCCATAATTTAACATTGACAGTAAAAAAGCAATCTATATGATAGTTACATATACTACATATACAGAAATAGTGGATTATAATAGAATTTCTGAAGACAAATGAATAGCTTGTTTCTTGTGACTATTGATTAACTGTGAAGGTTAAATTCTGCCCCAAATTCTGATGTTACAAGTAGAGGCTGAAAATTACAGCAGAAGTGTGTTCTGTGAAGGGTAGGTACAGGAAACTGATTAAATCTATTCATGAAGCAAAGTGGATCAGACCTTGAACTGTGTAAATTCCGGCTATAGCAGCTTTACAGTATCTACAATAATCTAATGAACTTTCTCTAAATAGAAAAAATTAGGAAAAAATACAGACAAAATGACAGACATTTTGAAATAACATGCTTGCTAAATCCCTCTATATTTTCTTGTTTCTATCTTAAAATTTTTACTTAAAAATAGAGAATTAAAAAAAATGAAGAGTTACACATAAAAACTGATGAGTTGGTAAGTTGCAGTTTGACTTTATGGTTCTTTAAATATCTTTAGTTGAGTTTTTATTTAGCTTTCTTTTTTCAGGGTATTTGAACAAAAAATACATTTAAAAATGTATTTTTGCCTTACAAATTTGCTGGAAATATAAAGTTTATTTTAATTTGTCACATCAAATTGATTAAATAAAAGATTATCTAGCAGTGCTGTAAAACCTAATAGTTACTTGGACTCAGTGAAAATACATGTGGATGCCCAGATTATTTTGAGAAACAGTTAAAAAATGATCAACAATAATAATAATAAGAACCCAGTATGCAGTATGGTTAACATTATTTGTCTCTTTGCATCTCTAACTGCTAATTACCTTTGATTATCTAGCATTGTGCCCTTTGTGTTATCACAACATTGATTTTAACTTGGTATCTAAAAAAGAAAGTCAATTTTCCTGTTTTGCCAGCACTGTTTTTTGCTGAATTTCGAACAAGCCAATTCCAGTGAAGAAAATTATTCTTTCCCCACCAGCTACTTTAGCAGGAAATAGAAGTAATTAAATAATAATTGTAAAAAAAACCTTTTATTTTGTAAGTTAAGTAGTGCATAAATAGTAATTACTTTAAAAAGAAGAAAATAATGGAATTTGCCCCATTTTGAAGATTATCAGGATTGTAAACCTTTATTTAATATACATCAAAACGTGATCAGTTAGAAAATCTGCATTAACTTCAATAGTTAAGTATTTAAATTAATTTGATATATCATTTGTGTCATAATAACAGAAAATACTGATATAATGACATGCTAGTGGAATCTATCAAATCTTTTTGAGATAAGGCCCAAAGAGTATTGGGCAAAATATCACTAGAGAATCTGGAATGCTGTAGGCACAAACAAAGCTAATGGCTTGCAAGCTACCATTCTGTATAAAAATCCCTTTGCCTTAAGTAATCATAAGTTAAAATACATTCTCAAGTAGGCTCTCAATCCTCCAAAAAATTATTATAATTTACATTTCACTGACGTTTTTTTTTTTAAAACATCTTAGTGACTGTTTTCTCATCCGGTTTTCCTTTTCTTCTACGCTATTGCTTCTGCAGCATTTGTATCCCACTCCCTTAATCTTGCCAACTTTTCTGTGTCTCAGGATGTCACCCAGGAAAAGATGGGAACATAGCACTACAAAGGCATGTGCCAGAGATCATGCTCACTGTTCTCATGTAACACTTCCTCTTCCTCCACAGCTCATCTGGCATCCTTCAAGCCTTCTAATTAGCTGCCAAGGATGCATCCTTTGAATAACCTCCAAAAATAAAGAAAATATTTGAGAACATAAAGGAACGCTGTACTCTACTTAAGAGCACTAGCAGTAAATACAAATATACATAACTGAATTGCTAGCCCTACTTTGTATGAAATGCTGGATTTCTCCTTCCTACTTGGTTTCACTGTCATATTATAGCACTCTCATGCTAACTGCACTCAAAAAGGTGTGCCAATGACAACTGCAGAGATGCTGCATCATTGTGGGTAAAGCAGTAATTTATTTATGAATCTTGACAGAAAATCCTGGGCAACTGGAAACAAACAAATCCATACATGAAGAGGGAATCAGGCTAGCCTGGCAGGAGACACTGAAGTTTGTAAGATCAGTCGAACGGTAAGTCTGCCTGGTCCTGGGAACCACTTTTGTCAGTGACTGCTAGTGTGGAAGAACAACTTAATCAAGGACTTGATATTTTAGGAGGTTTATGAAGCCAAAACCAGGATCTTCTCCCCCCTCCAAGAACGGGTTGTAGTGTTGTTTGTGTTTATGATATTTAAAACATTCAATGTTTGGGTCTCTATGCTGCAGTTTAAGGATGGCTATCAGGGTTATTCAAATAAATGACACCCAGATTATGAAGAAAAAACAAGCTCTAGCCTTCTCTTTATGCATAACTAGTTTCCTAGGGAGAGCCACATAACCATGACTTAAAATTCAGAAGCATAGTTTCAAATCATATATAATTACTCAGTAAAAATCGTCCAATGCGATAGATAAGTACAATGAATATACTGGTCTCAAACATTTTATTACAGCATTTTTTATTTGTAGAGTCTGTTTCTATCAGTATTCAATTATTTATCCTGTACTTGCTGTCAAGAATAAGCATGAAGAAGGGAACAGATGTCTACCTAATAGTTAGCCTAGCAGCTTTAAAAAAGAAAATAGTCCTATTTCCCATATTTTTCATCCTTACTTATGTTATTTATTATCCTGTGCCTCTGTTCTTACTAAGAGATAGCACCTGCTGTACAAATGCTAAGCAGCTCTCCAGCTAAGTTTTGCTGTAACTTTCAAGCTGATTCAGTGACCACTGAAGTCAAATTCTCAATGACTTCATTGAAGTCTAGTCCTTAGGACAGAATTTTGCTCACTGATACAAAGCTGAGCTATATCTGACCACATCTGACTTAGACTTGAAGTAATAGAAAACTTCTGATGATTCTGATAAAACTCATAAGAAATAACGGACTGCAGTCAGCTTTCACGAACAGTTTCTCCCCTGCACTTACGCACTTGGGAGTAGATCTCACAGAAGAAAAAAAACAATTCATAACTGCTTCTACTTTCTCATTTCCCCAGTTCATTAAAAATATTGAGAGGAGTATCACAGTATAAACAGTTCCTGTCAAATTGCTTGCAATATTCTCCTTTAGTAAGATGATTCTTCATTATTTCCAGAGAAGTAAAAATAGGTTTCTGTTCAATATAGAGCCTCTGCCACATGCCACAGCTCATATTCAGTTTGGATATTATGAAAAATTTCTTCTCAGAAAGAGTGATGAGGCACTGGAACAGGCTGCCCAGGGGGGTGGTGGAGTCAGTGTCACTGGAGGTGACATAAGAAATGTGTAGATGTGGCACTGAGGGCCATAGTTAGTAGCCATAGTAGTGATGGGTCGATGGTTGGACTAGATGATTGCAGAAGACTTTTCCAACTTTAGTGATTCAGTGATTTCATGATCTCCTATCAGATAAAAAAAACGAACTCTGATATCAGCTGAAGAGCTTCGTTGATTTCTTGGGCAATAATCAACATTTTCCACACTCTACAGTGTTTTCATCCAAAACCAAGTTACTCCCTTAAGCATTCTGGTGATATTGAGGATTGTTCTCCCTGATGCGTTTCACAGTGCAAATCTATTTCCTAGTTTGCTGCAGCACTTGTCAGCAGCAGAAATGAACAACAACCTCCAGGAAACAAAAAAAAAACAATCAGGTTTTGAAAAATCACCTGAAAAAAGTCAGGCTCTGTATGGGCTTTTCAATATTCTATGCAAAGGAAACGCTGACTGAACAAGTCAGTCTGGTGACAAAGTTAATCAAAACAAGTTTACACAGAGAAGAGAAAGAAAGAGAAATACATCAGCTAATGGGGAAAAAAATTAAGGCAGTCAGGAAACAGAGAAATTAAATTGAAAGTGAGGAAAGAGAAATAGGAGAGTACAAAAAGACACTATCTATTTGAGACGAGCCACTGAAGAAGATAAGGTAAATATTAAGTAGAAATCAATCCAAAAGAAGAAATGTTGTACAAGAGACTGGAAAAGCTCCTAGTAAATTCCTGGTTTTATGTTCTTCTGTACAGAATTCACATAACAATCACATAATATATAGTCTTTTTTTTTTTTTAGTTATAGCTTTCAAAAAAGACAGAAATATGTCCTGATATGCATTCACACCACAGATGAGGAAAACTGTCTGCATAGACATTTAATGTAGATTTACGAATGAATCCCTTTTTATGTACAAAAGACTGAATTGTAAATCTGAATTCAAAAACATATCCTCTGTCATTTTATTTTTTACTGATTGAAAGGAAGAGAAAAATAACCTGTGAGGGCTTTGATTAAGCCAAAAAAGCTTGAGAGATGCCCCACTTCAGGAGTGCATGGGATGAAGAATATCTGCCATACTCCTGCAAGACAGAACCACATCACACCAGAGAATGAAAAGAACAGTGTTGTTGCTGTATCCTGAGGAAAAGAAATATATTTTTACATCTCAGTCCTCTTATTGCTTTCAGTCTATAAAAGAGGAAGTCCAAAAGCAAAAAAAGTTAAATATAGTTTGTTTTTGTGAACATTGAGGCAATAGAAAAAAAGAGAAAGGGAGAAAACCTTTTCAAAGAATTTACTGCTCTTTCATAGTCACCAGCAGTTTCCCTTAATCTTCAAGGAGGGAAATAATTACTGCAAGAGTAGTAAACTTTCATTCTTGTGGCAACAGTCACTGGGAGTAGCACCTGGCTGAGGAGCTTGAATCAGAATCACAGAAACCCAAGGTTGGAAAAGACCTACAAGATCATCCAGTCCAACCATCCACCTATCACCTGAATAGTTCACACTAAACCATATCCCTCAAAACAAAATCCAAACGTTCCTTGAACACCTCCAGGGTCGGTGACTCCACCACCTTCTTGGGCAGCCCATTTTTGATGTAATCACTGCATTTTGAATTCTATCTGACCACTCTCAAAAAAGTAGTATTTCCTAACGTCCCGCCTAAATCTCCCCTGGTGCAGGTAGTTGTAGAGAGCAAAGAAGAGCTTTACTACAAGCTAAACTGGAAACCCAGGAAACAGCAGGATTACTGGATTAATGTTTAGCTCTTTGGCATATATTTTCATTTGCTGATAAATCTTGAAGCATTCTAAGTAAACTTTCAATGTAAATGTGTTTGTACCATCATTACACAACAGAAGCATATAAAACATAATCCCACTAAAGAGGCCAAATCCAAACCTCTATGACCTACTAATCCAAACCAAATCCACACCTTTCCAACTCACTAATCCATACCAAATCCATTCTAACATATGCACGAGTTCTTTCAATCACAGTCTATGTAATGTCTATAAAACCACAGTATATCACAGTACATAAATGTCTATAAAACCATTCTAGAAAAAAAACTAACTCATCCCCCAAAAATTAGGCTTTAGAAACAGCTATAGAAATATACTGCACAGAATAAATGTGAAAATGCATACTATGGTATTTTTTAGAGATAGAACTTCAATTGCATGCTCCTAATTTCATTTATACTGGGAGAATAAAAGTCACACAATTAAAAAAAAAAAAGAAATCTCTATGGTATAGTTAGCCCAAATCATTGGGAAATGGTGGTACCTCAAGTTGCAGCATGTGTAACTATTGGTATATATTGACTTTATGGAGGCAATCACTACTAGTGTCTACAGATAAGCAACATTTCTGACTTTTTCTTTCTAAAAATTGCCATAGCTTTGTGTATTAAGCCAGCAGAGGGCAATCTCACACACAAGGAACAAGTACAGGAAGTGGTGTGGTAATACCTCTGTGTGTCTAAGTCAACACTCCAGAGCAAAAATTGGTATAGAAGTTCAGACAAGGAAATATCTAGATCTTTGCAGAGGAGCTCTGGCATTGTCCTTGTGTCGTCTTCAGAGCTATCTACAAAAGAGTAAATCTAGAAGTATTTATGAAGCACATGTCAGTTCAGTGCAGCATATGGTTTGTATTCTACTTCCTGTTAAGTTGTGGGGTGGTGCAAGCAATTGAATGAGAAATGTAAACATTAATCCTCTCCTGATTATCTTTCTTACAGGAGAAAACTATATAACTAATTTATAAAAGTAAGCCTTCTTGTATTGCATACTCTCTAAGACATGCTGTTAACAGACATTATTGTAAATATTTTCAAAAAATATTACTAAAATAGAATCCCAGGCTTTTAAAAGCATTTTGAAATACAATCACACTTAAAAAAATAAAGACAAAAAATGAAGTAAACGAAGTATATCATTTATTTTTCCTAATTATTTGCATAAGCTTTATGACTTTATTTGCAGGTTATTTAACATAAAGCAAAAAGGTTTTCCAAACCTGGAGTATTCCTAAATATATAACAACAGGAAAATGTTATATAAATAATATGTGAAAAATTATATCATTCTATCAAGTGCATGACACATGTAAGTTTTTTCTAAAGAGAACAACATTAATAGAGAAGGTTCTGTTGAAAGTTTACCTATTTCTACTTCATAGTTAATTTGAAACAGCAACATTTGATAATCACTTTTAAAATAATTTTAACTTTTCAGTGGGTTGCAAAGGAAAGTCCAAGCAGGAACAGGAACACAGTAAGTCTTACCCTGAGCCTTTGAACTTGGCAGCCTTGTTTCTCCGTCATTTTCAGAAAGTGACCAAAGTTTGACTCATCAAGCAGGAGGTACACTGCAATCCCTCTAGTAGATGCCTCTACAATTTCTCTAAAGATATCCACATCTGTAAACATATCCATAACTATGGCAATGACCTGAGTAAGAAATAAAAAAAAAGACACAAATTATTGTTTTATACACATATACAACTTTTCACTGAGATTTGCAGTGTACCACTAACGCTAATACTATTCATGTACCAGCTCTGATATTTTCCATGTGTTACCACTTAACCTTAAAGCCTTCTCAAGACCACTGAATTTTCTCTTTGAAAAGTCAGGCAATTGCTTGTATGACATTCACAACAAGCAGAAGACTGGCAAACAGATGAGCTTAGAGATGGGTTAAGGGAAAGTCAGTGGAAGGGGGGGGAGTGAGAAGCAGAGCAATAGTAATACAATGACAAAAAATGGAATCATCACAATATAACTGCATAAGAGAAAGTTCAGATAACACCATTTTTGTACAAGATAGTTGTTTAACCTAATCTAAATTCTGTTCTCCTTTTTCATTATTTTCTCTAAAATAACAGCTTGAGAGTTTGAAGGAGTCAATAAGCACATGATGATCTGGAGCAGTTGATGAGGACTTCAGGATCCATACTGAGTCAGTGCACATGAAGGGAAGAAACTTATTCAGATGGTGAGACCTTGGTTCAAGAAGGCTAGAGAGTGCTGCACAGCAGCTACTGATGTCCTTCAATCTATGGGAATAATGCAGGTATTTCTGATTTGGAAAAGCAGTGTACTGCTAGTAATATTTTGGAGATGACAGACAACTGACTTACTGTTAGAGAATTGAAGCATTAGAGGAAATAACATTGGGAGAACAGCTATCTGTGTAATTTTCAAAAATAATATTCTTATCCATTGAAGTCCTCATAAAAAGGACCAGCAAGACTTTACAGGTACAAATTCAAATCAAATGAAGTCTATCAGGGGCATAAGAGCAAGCTTGATAGTGACCTTGCTTTACTAATTTCACTTGTCTTTAAACTTTCTATATATAAACATTAGCAGTACCTTTGTTAAGTTACAACTGCACTTTCCGAAATAGAAGCATTTATCTTATACACAAAATTTGCTAAAGGATGTTGCACACACCCAAATGAAAGCTACGTCATCTGAATTACCTTTTCAAATCCTACCTGTGTAGAACTAGAAGACTCATTTATGCCAAATATACGGTTAGAACAAAAGAAATAGTAATAAGAGTTGACCAATAAAAGAAAAATAACTATGTCATTAAGAAAGGTAAAAGACATCTCAACAGTACCATTAATCTAGTAAGCACAACAATACCATTAATCTAGTAAGCACAGATGTTGTAAGATTCAATTGCTGGAGGAGAAAGAGCGCCAAATTTGAGTCATATCAACATATGTTCATAAGTTAAAATAAGCAATTTACAAAGATGAGGTAGACTGTGCATTAGATTTTCTACAATTTGGTCATAACTCCACATATTTTGATGCAGAAAGAGTCGATCTCAAGAAATGTCAGAATATTCTGTCTTCCAAGAATACTAAAGAATACTAAATTTCCTTTAATTTTCCGATTATACTATTTTTCCTTTAATTTTCCATAATTCCTTGGGTACATTCCCCAGTACATCTGCTACTTAACAGCAGAAGTGCACATTGCGCTTGGGGAAAGTGAAAGCCAGTACAGTATTCAAACTCCCAAGTTTTGATTAAGGAGATCATGACTAGGCAGTTACTCCAAGAGATGTATGTATGTTTACTTTAAGGTCTAACATCACATACAGGGTGAGTTATTTCCTGAATCACTTTTGGAGAAAAGATTTTACTTCTGTTCAACACCTGTTCCTGAAATTGCTGGTCTCCACCCTGATACTTACAAGAGGAAGCTAAATGACAGTGAAATCTAGCAAGGAACGGCAAAAATGATAGAATTCAAAATGCAGTGATTACATCAAAAAATTGGCTATTCCACAAATTCTGTTTCTTCTGGGCATAAGTTTAATGTCCTTTGTCAAGAAAATTCTCCAAGGCAGAACACTTGAGTGTCTTACAGTACATTTCCAGCCATTCTTATAAACTGCCATTTTCTTTCGAAAGCATGTTTGTTTCCTAAAAGGCAGTGGTTTCTGTGAAAGCAAGCATCAATGTTTTTAAAAGGAAATGCAGAAAGGCAATCCAACCATGCAGGGCATACTGAATAGGGGCAGTAGTTTTCAGATGAAAGCTGAAAGCACCAGGATTCTGGGAGAACTTGCCAAACATAAGAAACTCATTGTCACCCTGATCAAAAGTGGCGCTTGGGAATAATTAAACGTTTCACACTTTCAGGGCAGAGACAATACTTGGCAGAGCAGAAACACTGATATCATGCACAGCAAAAGTAGACTATTGCCACTTGATTTGCAATTAGATACAAAAAAAAGCCAAAACATCTCAATAGCAAATTAAAAGTATAGCCAGAGCAGAAAACAATTTTTATACTCTATTTCTTCTCTCCAGATTAAGTTTAATTATCTTAGGTTGTTACTACTGATTTTTTCTGCTTATCTTCCAACATTTTTTCAAAGTGGAAATGCTTTTCTAGGTTAAATTTTGGTTTCAATGGCATCCTTGCAGATGAAGAAAATCTACTAAGGACAGTAAGTACAAAATTACCTCTAACACAGATGATAGTTTTATCAACTAAAATAAAGGCACCAGCAGAGCCATACGCTATTTTCCTCACCTCTGTCTTGAAAGTACAAATATGGCTTTCAGGGTAAAAGCAGAGTTTCAAACATTAACATTTTATTAAAAAATTAAGTATAGGAAGAAAAATACAATTTTATTAAATAGTATTTTTATGCAAGCATTACAAAGCACTTGGTAAGCTGATGTATTTTACTAAATTCACACAATATCAAGTAAAGTTACATTTCAAAATTTATTATCTCTAAAGTATCAGATCATTTTAATACATAGTTCTTTACATTTTTAATAACTCTTAACTCTATCCAAGTTCAGGAAAGGACTCATTCCTAAATAAGATACTAGTTGCCAGTTTCATGAAAGACAGCTACATGCATACACAGTGCTGGTGAGACCACACCTTGAGTGTTCAGTTTTGGACCCCTCACTAAAAACAGAAAACAGTTGCTGGAATGTAATCAGAGAAGAGCAACGAAGCTGGTGAAGGGACAAGAAAACAAGACATATGAGGAGTGGCTGAGGGAATTGAGATTGCTTAGTCTGTAGAAGAGGAAGCAGACTTCATCACTGTACAACTACCTGAAAGGAACTAGCAGTGAGGTCTCTTTTCTCAGGTGACAAGTGACAAGAATTGAGGAAATGGCCTCACACTTAAACAAGGGAGGTTTAGATTGGATATCAGAAAGAATTTCCTCATAGAAAGTGTGGTAGGAATTGGAATAGGCTGCTCAGGGAAGTTGTGGAGTCATAATCCTGAAATGTATGAATGTGGTGCTTAGGGACATGGCTTAGTGGTAGACTTGGTAGTGCTAGGTCAATGGTTGGACTTGATCTTAAGGGTCTTTTCCAATCTAAACAATTCTGTGATTCTATAATTTTACTCTTTGAAGTTTAAAAGAAACACTCATAGTTGAAATTTCATGCAAAACTAAGCAGATTATTGCAAACCAGGAATTAAAGCACACAATAAGATGACACCACGCTGTGTATTACAAGGCTGAAAATAGAGGTTGATGCACAGTTCTGTTATCTATCATTTATAATGGATAGTCATTACTCCTAGGAGTTGCCAGTTTAGGCCAATTCACATGTCCTGTGTTTACTTAAATTGATCTCACCTTCAGAAACAAACTCTGTCCAAAGGCTTATATAGAAGGAAGCTGCCGAAACTAACCCCAAAAATGCAAATGCATACATCACTAAACACCTCCTAAGCATGTCCAGAGGGAGAGCAACCATTTATCTGGTCTGATAATGATAGGACAACAGAGAATAGTTTAAATTAAAAGAAGGGAGATTTAGATTAGATGTTAGGAGAAAATTTTTACTCAGATTGTGGTGAGATGCTGGAACAGGATGTCCCATCCCTGGAGGGGTTCAAGGCTAAGTCAGATGGGGCCCTGAGCTGCCTGATCTAGTGGTTGGCAAACCTGTACACAGCATGGGGTTGGAGCTGGATGGTCTTTCAAATCCCTTCCAACCTAATCTATTTTATGATTCTATGATACAGTTCTAGCACTACCAGAATCAGGGATGGAGGATTTGCCCTGTGAAAAGTGCCTGAATGAGCTGGGCTTGTTCAATCTAAAGCAAAGGCTGTTTTACTGACAACTTCATTATCCCAGTATCTCTACTCCTTTCAGAAGAACTAATTGCCATTCTTTGAGAAATGTCTTGCAGAGTGTGTCGTTCAGCACTTTCTTTCCTGTAAACAGTAAAAAGAGGAATCCTCTACTGCTGCTGCTTCCTTAGGTCAGGCTTTACTGGAGACACCTACCATGATATCTATAACCTATTAAGGAATAATGCTATCGGCCTACCTACGCTGCAGGAGTATTGATTTCTTGTAACCTAAGAGAGGCTTACTCCAGGCATCCTATGTCGAAAATCCATATTGCTGTGCTGTGCTTTTGAACACACCTCCGTTACTTATCTGAGGCCAGAAGAACCATTTTTTTTTTTAGCGAAAAATGTTGACTGTATTTTGTCAGCCTTCTCCCTGGTACTCCAGTTGAATTTTTTTATGGTTGTAAGTTTCAGAGACAATCTCCTTGTGGCACAGGCTTGGTGCTGCTTGAATATGGTCTTTCTGAGAGAGTAGGCAAGCAACAACCTTTGCAAAATATTGCAGAAAGAAGATACAGTTTTTCATGTGTCGCTGCTAGGAACAAGAGACAAGCAGCAAACGGACTGGGTGGATTTCAGGTACCATAAAAAAAAAAAAAAAAAAAAAAAAAGAGAAAAATACTGTAACCAATACAGACAGCCTTCCCAGTAGTTTTGGGAGTTACAAATTATCATGGTCTATTTTGGGAGTTACAAATTATCATGGTTTCCAATTACATTATGCTGTGTTTTTACACTCGGGGGTCCAGAACACAGATTGAGGTTATGCTTGCTGTAATTCACATTAGCTGTTTGCAG